TCTACTATGTGTAGTTGTAATTGTCTACTATGTATATTCGCAAATGTACTACTTGTATAGTTGTAAATGTCTACTATGTGTAGTGTAATGTCTACTATGTATAGTTCGCAAATGTATACTATGTATAGTTGTAATTGTCTATGTATAGTTATAATTGTCTACTATGTATAGTTGTAAATGTCTACTATGTATAGTTGTAATTGTCTACTATGTATAGTTGTAATTGTCTACTATGTATAGTTGTAAATGTCTACTATGTATAGTTGTAATTGTCTACTATGTATAGTTGTAAATGTCTACTATGTATAGTTGTAATTGTCTACTATGTATAGTTGTAAATGTCTACTATGTATAGTTGTAATTGTCTACTGTGGAGAGTATCAAATAAGTAGTGTTAATAGTTACACTTGTCAATTTTGTATAGGCACAATGCCCTACAATTTTTTAATAGATTATATGTCATTTCAGAATATAACCCATAATCTGTCACCATTGCATTTCCATGGCGACGAGTTGGTTGTTGTCACGGATGTATTTCGTCTCATTAAACCGGGGATCTACATTTTAAAGGTACTGATTATGCAAATATTATGACGTGTTATATCGACCAATGAGAACGCATATGCAAATACTGTACAAAGGTCACTGAAAATTTTTTTTTTTTATTTGTTTAGATCTTACCGATGCCAGACGATCAAACTATTACTACTACCGTTACAAGATCACACAACTTTACAGTAATTGGTGAGTAGTGTTACTATTATAATTATAAAAACTGTCAATTGTTTTCTCCAAAACGCGCCGAAGGACTGTGGCAGCACATTAATTGGTCAGATACTGTTAAATACATGGAATATTGGAATTAATTTTCGCTATTTTCGCTGAAGGAATGATTCACTGAAAATAAACTCCAGCGAATATACTATATTTTACATTCAACTCTTCAGCAATCAATGAAAATAAATTCCATACAAAACACCCAAAAAGTCTATTCAGTGAAAATTCAATGTCTCATATTTATTCAAGATGAGAAAAACTAATAAGCCGTATTCCGCTCACTGCCAGAACACCATTTTGAACCAAAGCGTAACCTTTGTCACGTGGCTGACAACCGTTGTCAGGGTATCTCGCGGGATCTCGCGGTGAGCGGAATATCCGCTATTGTATTGGCATAATGTCTTTATCATTGCAGGCAGTCCGTGTCACTCTGGTCCATGTGGAAATGGAAACTGCACTGTTGTAAATGTTTACCAGTACAACTGCACATGTGACGATGGTTACAGTAATAAAAACAGTAACGACAGTTGTTGTAAGTAATTCTGTAATTATTTTAGATAAGTCAGATTTCTTACACTTAGATTGTTAAAGCACGTCAGTACATCGTACATCGATTGGATGGAAAGAGTTGAAATTTACAAAAGATCAATGGCAGTTGATTTCACCCAGATAATCGACGATCGCGTAATGGCGCCATTTGAAAATGTTTCAATATTATTCTTTTTTCAGTTTAAATTGTAACATGAATTTTTCACTTGAATAAAAAATGTGACAATAAATTGTCACTTTTGCATATTGCATTTCTATATAAGGTCATTAAACATGTTCAAATAGTATTCTAGATTCCCTATTGCGACATTTGTGTTGATAAACATTGGTTTTCCCCTAATCCAATGCCCTTTTCTAATTAAATCACGAGTCCGAGTTTTGCCCTGGGCAACGACTTATTTGATATCTTCCAAACACCAAAAACAAATACCTTATTGAAGCTTGGTAACCGCTCAGTTGGTAGTCGGTGGTTTGTGCAACAGTCAAAATCGCCACCTTTTTTTACTCGCATATGAGACTCATAACTTACGCATGCGCGGGCGACGCCGACTACCGCAATATTTCCAAGCGAAAGGTTTTTTTGTCCTATGTAAAGCAGTGTGGCCAATTTTAATTATGAATAATGTGATTATTTGTCGTTATAGTTCGAGATGAATCTCAGAGTGGACGTTCATTCAACAATCCTACTACAGTGGTTATCTTGGCTACCGTTGGCGCTATCGTAGCGCTGATCTTAGTATTGGCCATATGCCGCTTCCGAAAGCACCATGGCAGCACTTCTACTTCAATGCGGCCACCAGACGGTACGGAAATCGAAAGGTTGATAACACCGACTAATGAACGTGTGCTTGTAATTTATCCAAATGACAGCGACAAGTACGTCTGTCTTGTTGAACTCATGTGTCGCTTCTTACGCCTATACGGGTTGGACGTGAGATTAAATACCTGGGAACAGTCCCACATTAAGGTCAATGGCCTCGAACAGTGGCTAAACGACGAATTTGACAAAGCAAATACAATTCTGCTCTTCATCACTGCGGGATTTCGACAAAAATGGGCAAAAGAATTAGATCCCGCGCAGACGAAACATCGCTTTTTTTGCTATGCTAAACAGCACATTCTAAGAGACATTGAGCAAGGTGTAACATGTCCACGGAAGGGGAAATATGTGTGTGCGTATTTCCCCTTTTCAAACGAGTACGAAATTCCGAATGAATTGCGATCTTTTGGGGAACCCGGTGTTTATAAACTACCGGAGAAATTTGAAGATTTATATATGGAGTTACTAGGTCAAGTCAAACTACTCCAGCAGCTGATTTCAGTATTCCGGAAATTAAAGATAAATTACAGGACACGCTTTTGGGAAAGGAGTTACTGCAAGCCATAGAAGAAATGACAGATACCGCGCGTTCGAACCCCTCTTGGTATGAAGACATTAGCGGAAACGAAGCTGGACTGCCCCAGAAAGATTCCGTGCGGAGACACTCTGCAGAGTCGTTCACTGTGTGAACAGCCGTATTTTGTCAGATAATAGGAGTCGGTGTAAGTCATCAAATTCGCCATATTGTTCATCCTCGTTCGCGACGCGTAGTTTGACATCAGCGACCAATGTCATTTTTATTCAGGAATTCCGTAATACAAAATCTGGCCGACAAAAGGGATCATATAAATGAACAGTTTGTCAAATATCTGAAATTACCAGTGTTCATTTGTCTTTTTTAAAAATTAGGATATTTCTTGGTATTTCTCAGCATTTTTTCCCAGTTCCTTACTTATCTCAGTTAGTGTCATCATGTCACAAAGCTTTCTGATATTGTATTTATCGCCCAAATAAAGTGTTGTTTCATTTCGTCTTTACTAGTAATTAGTTCAAGCTTTAAATAGATAATGTGGATAAACACAGCACGATATGATCTATAAACAACAGTCGTTACATTCACATTTTATAAAATGATGCGCATGCGCTTCCTAATACCGATACGTACAGGAAACTCTGGGCGCACGTGTACCTAGCGTTTCATTATTCCGTGTTATTATTGGCGTTATTGCCAAAAAAACTCATGTATTTTACAACAAATCATACCCGACTGTTACAATATCACACAAAGTAAACATTCTCAATCATATCCACGCGTTTTAATAAACGTAGGTGCACAAATCCAGCAACTTGTGAACAACTTCCTCCAGACGACTCGTGAGTATCACGTGACATGTATGTCCGAGTACGTCAAGCAATTTGTTGTCTCGTTTGTAGCCAGTCTTGCAATAATCACTAACGCCGTACTCCAAATATCTACCTGACCTGATACACCGCAAAATCTCGATAAATTTGCATTCATTT